ATTTGAGCAATATTCTGAATGCTGACTAAAAGGCCTTTACTGGGTTAAATCTGTGTATTCATACAGTGTTAATGTTCCTACACCAGTGTTCGGGTCACACTGATAAAGGCCTACCATATATAGTAGCCTACAGAACAACCAACTGACCCTATCACAGATTGTGCCACATGACCTTTGAGTTCTTGAGGAATATTTGTTTAGTTTCTGGCACCAAAAGTAGCTCATAGATGGAGTCACGCCAATTCACACTTTGCACTGTAGCACTGTATGTAAGTTTATGCCAAACTAAAGCTCAGATCTTTACATTGCAGTGCGCTATCTACGGAAGGGGGTGGACAAAAACAACTCCATTGTCCTCCTTTGAATATTCAATGGACACACTCTTAACAAAGCTAAGCTCACTAAAGCAATTAGCCTAGCATGGGGTCCCAGAGTGTGCGTTTCCATTTAAATGCACTTCTGTGAAAAGCAAAAGAGGCGCAAAGAGCCGTTTGCCATTGTAACGTATGATGTGAGGCAAACTCCAATCCAAAGACACAAAGAAGGCTATTTCACCCGGCCTCAATAAGCCGTACCCGACCCAACAGGGTGTTCGCCAGTGTTTATGTTACTTAAGCCCAGGCTACATGCAGCTGTACGTGATATTTATTACTTCGTTAAAGTAAGCTGGGTATGTGAGTGAGCTAATATTAACATGCATGTGTCTAATTTCACTAAGCACACCCAAGTGCATGACCAAGGACAAGTCCAAGGCCATTTAAAGGCCACACACTGCCCTGCCGATGGCGGAAAGATAGCAAAGCATGGTTCTCTCGGTCACTGTTGGGATTTTTAAAGGCTTTGATGTCTAAATTAAGAGATGTAGTCAAGCTAGCCAAACCTATACTACCCATAATGGAGAAAAATGTATGTATATATGTTTGCTCATCTATAAACATACATGCAATATAGTCATCTTAAAAATATATGGGTTATATTTTTTACATGTGCCCAGAAATGTATACCAGTATATTTACATATATGTCAATACACTGAAATATGTGCACATACAGTCATGTGCAAAGGTTTGGTCAAATGACCAAAGTGAAAACACACACATATTTTAATGCACAATTACTGCTTTTTCGCATATATGAATTTAACATTTGGAAAAAAAGAAAGCATAAAACGTGGCCCGTGCAAAATCCATATGCTAAGATTTTTCAGAATATGTATAGATGTATAATAAAATATTTGGCACTCTTACATATATTTTATCTCCAAGTGTGTGTAAATTCCAATACACTATATAAGCATATATCTAAATATTCAAAAAAGGTGTAGTTTAATATATTTATGCATGTATATGTTAAAACATCACATATATTGCAGATACATTTTTAAAATAAGCAAATTATATGTACATATATTTTCATCCATATGGGAAAGCTATGGCACATTATACACATTATATTATTTTTTCTCAGTATGTTAAATCCATACTGGATTTTGAAATATATATGTAAATGCATTACATTTGTTTATGGGCGACATACAGAAAATTAAGGCTAAGAGGCTTAAAAGGCCTTTGTGTTCATACATATATTATCTCTGCCTGAAATTATGAGTAAATATGAACAAAACATGACTAAACTGAGAAAAGTTTGGCAAAGAGAAAACTTGTCATGTTCACAGTTTATGTATATTTTTATGGCCTCTTCTGACTGGTGGGCTTTGCATCCAGGCACATGCAACATTTTGTCTTCGTGGGGATGTTTGACTGATATTCACAAGGAAAAAAATCAGCTTCGTTTCAAAAAGTGAAACAGCTTCAAAGTTTTTCTTTTGGTTACTGAAGTTAAGGTCGGGTTTAAAGTTTAAAGTAGAGCGCAGCAACATTACAGTGATACAGACCCAGGAGGAAAGAAAGATACTAAATAAGATCTCCTCTTAAACTCCATTACTTCTCCTTGACACCTAGTTAAGTCCTGTCTGAAAGCAGCTTAAGCAATTTCCTGCTGCTTCTGAAATTCACCTCCTGAGAAATAAACACGTTGATAAAAATATTGTCTCATGACTTCACTATTTTATGTCTAGCTTATGAGCCCAGCCTGTGCTGAATAGTATTTACATTTGAAAAGTGTACACTGTTAGAAATAAAGGTTCAGTGCAGGTACATTTTTCATTCATCAAGGTACAATCAATGTAAATGTTCCCTCAAAGGTACAACAGTGGTTTAAAGGCTCTTAATTGTGGATCTTAAATAAGTTTTTCCAGGTGAAAAGTTCGTATTTGTACCTTTACATAACCGAATGTTTTAAAACAGAACAGTAAAATAAAAGGCCTGGAGACGAGACGGGGTGTGTGGAGTCAGTACAGCTTAGAACATACCATTTCAATGGATTATGGTACAGTTATGCTCCCTGACTAGGGTACTGAGATGTACCCTTGAGGGTCCCACCCCAGTGACAAGAGGGGGACTGCCCCAGTGACAGTTTCATACCTTTATTTCAGAGAGTGTAAGACTTCATTATTGTCTTCTAGAACACTCTTCTACATCTCTAGTCTTACAGCAGCCCACGCGGAAGGAGAACTCATGCTTTTCTCATTCATCAGCAGAATGTCTTACAGTGAAACACTCATGCTGATCTCTTCCTTTTCCTAAAGGCAGTTTAGGAGAAAGAATTCAGAGACCAGCCACCCTTTTGCGAAACGTCTGCATATGTATGTATATAACGCACATGATGTAAACAAAGTCATTGAGTGGTTTGCTGTAAAACGATTCATTGTAGAGAAACTTACAGACATTTTATTTACTATCCAAAACCACAAGTGAACCTTCGAATCTAAGTTTTCTTTGGTTACTATTTTGCCTCACTACGGCCTGCATGTACACCTCCACCAGGAATGTATTTAAAGAAGCCAAAACCTTCGTAAAACAACGTCTCAGACTTCAAGAAGTGAATTCATAACCATTTCATGTACTAACTTTCTGTAAGAGAGCTTTTAGAGGTGCACGTCTGGTTCCTATCACCACCACTGTGAACACGTCTGACTCTGTATGTTTTCTAGAATGGAGCATTTCACACCAAACCACTCTGAATGACTTTGTTTACATCTTAAACACTTATTTATGCTGAAGTGTATGCCTACAATTGTCTTCTGAGTTTTATGTATAATGTTGATGACGGTAAAAACAAATGTGTTTGATGATTATTTTACCCCAGAACACCTCTCCACCATGAATGGACTCTAAAAATACACATTTTAGACTAGACGCTGATCTCAAAACTATGTTGTCATAACCATTTCATGTAATAACTCTCTGTGATGGAGCTTTAACAGGCATTAAACCTTTCAGACGTCTGGTTCCTATCACCACCACTGTGAACAATTCTGACTTTTCACATCAAACCACTCCGAATGCCTACATCTTAACCATTTATTTATCCAGAAATGATAAGAAATCACTGAAATTCTCTTTTAAGAGACATATTTTGGAAAACATGAGTGTTTTGATTGTGTGGGAAGTGCTGGCGACTCCATCTGGAGATTTTCTCTATTCCACAAAGCTTTAATGCTTTTAAAAAAATGTTAAAAACTATAACATTAGCTGTCAGCTCCTGATGTTAAGTCAGGGTGTATCATTAGAACTGAATTCAGCTTCAGTCATACAGAGAAGAGCATAATAAAACCCTACAGAGACAGAAATTGTGTGTTTTTGTAGACTAATTATCTCTTTAGGGGGACTAATGTCCTTGGGATGAGGAATAACATGGACATTTTGATGCCGTGGGGACATTTAGTTCCTCTCCCTGTAAAAGAATGCTACAAAATAGTGCAGTTTATGTTAACGTAAAAGAGGCTAAAGATACAGATCACAGAAATCTGATATATGGCAATATATGGGTTTCAAATATAAGACATTATTAGTATATATGGATTTCCCTCATATCCAACTTATATCTGTCACATATGCATATATTACTCATACATGATAGCTTTTTTATTGAATGCATGTTGCTGGTGTATTTCATGTTCATTTCTTGCTTTAAAAAAGTCTTTCAGTGTTTGCATCAGAAATAAATCAGACAGACAGTATATACGTGATCCACATATCATGCATATAAGTCCAATATTTGATACTTATATATGTACAGAGCATAAATGCCTGACCCTTTATGATATATATGCATATATGCCCATATATGAGATCTCTATATGGGTAGCTTTTGGTTCCTGAGGTTAAGAATGGTGATAAATGTAGTATCTACAGCAGCATTTAGGTACAGTCATACGGCAAAAAAACAGGAATGCAAACTTATTATCTTTCTGAGGGGAATAAATGTCCTCAGGATGATGGATGAGAACATTTTGAGGTTGTGGGGACATTTAATTCCTCTCTGTGAGGAAAAACTGCAGTTCACATTAAAGTAAAAGAGGCTAGTAATACAGAAATAGGATATATAAGCTGTAAATATATGATACATACTACCATATATGGATTTCCCTTATTTCCAACTTATATTAGTCACATATGTAACATATATGTCAACTTGTTTGACCCATTTTCAAAAATATGGGACATATGTTTCAGCCATATATCAACATATACAAACACATGTATATTTAACACTATAGGATAGAAAACATACGCGGTTGGCATATATTACTCATATATGATTGCTTCATGTTATATAAAAGTGAGTTTTTATGTATCCTCTAATGAAGTGGCAAGTATTATAGCTGCATGACTAAACACTTAAAAACATGCACATTGTAAGCTATGCGATAATCATTTAATTTGATGAAGTAAATGAATGAAAAATATGGTTCCCTGACACATTTAAATAATGTAATATTTAAAAGGAAATAACATAGTAACAGTTAAAACACTACTGGGAGGTATTCAACCATGTATATGAATGCACACACGTCTGATATTTGATTTTTACACATACAGTACACATTTTGAACTATAAGGCCAACCCTTTATATGTACATATATGGTCATATATCAGATTTCCGTGTGGGCAAAGATTATCTTTTGGTTCCTGAGGTTAAGGTAAGCGTTAGGGTTAAGTTATATGGAGCACAGCAGCACTTCAGTGATAGAGAAGGACATAAACATCGTGCAAAGACACGAATCTTAGCCTGAGTCGTTTCTCTGAGGGGCTAAATGGCTCAACGTCCTTATGACGATGGATAACGTTGACATTCGACGTTGTGGGGACCTCACTTACACTCTATGCGGAAAAATGCTACAAAAACTGCGAATTATGTTAAAGTAAAAGAGGCCGAAGATCAGCTTTTAGTTCCTGAGGTTAATGTTTGCGTTAGACGTAGTAAACTACGGCAGCATTTAGGTTACAGTCCTACGGAATAAAAGCGAAGCATCCCCACAAAGGCAGAAATACATACTCGCGTATGTGTTTCATTGTTCTGCCATGACGCGACTCGCCCGTATCGCGAAATGGCGGCCGAGCCGAATGGGCGGAAAGAAAAACCAGGAACGGATCTGGATCCGGATCCTGGAGCTTATCAAAGCAGTACGTGACTTGAGCCACATAACGTTGGGAAATTAATCCGAAAGCTTTCACAACGCATATTAAACACAGATTATGCAAATGCAAAGATTATTTAGTGGTCCTTTTAAAAATATAAACTGCATTATCACACATATTCACTAGTTTCTCTGTACGGAATATCAACATGGACCCCTGCCCTCCACGGCCTCTGTCTAAGATGGTGTCTTGGGGTTCTTGCTGTTGATGTAGCTGATGTAAGGAGGGAAAAAGAGCAAACAAGTTCACCTGTCTGGTAAGAAAAGGAATTCTACAGGTGCAGGCGTTCAAGTCCCTACACGCTCAGCTATGTGGGCCAAACCTTGTGGCTCGCTAGCTGCAAGTATCTCGCTTCTTCCTGCTGATGCAAGACTGTTAGAACCAATAGGATTAAAACCTGATGCTTTTGCTTTCTAATTTCAGGAATTGGCTTAACGGTTACAACCAGAGACCATAGCTTCCTGTAGGACACCTTTAGATCCCATTAGATGCATTTAGAATCGGTTCCAAAACACCTCTTAAACCATTAGAATCCTTTACGCGGTGATATCAACCCATCAGGACAGCACTGAATACCATTAATGACGACTGGACAACAGAAACTTAGAATGGCTTCTATGATTTTTCCAGAGTTTGTCTTTAAAGGCATAGCTCAGCTAGCCTACGTGTTAATGTCAACGACTAAGACAGTAGGCCCATTGGGGCCCATTGGGGCCTACTCAGAGGAAAAAAGTGTTTTTCTTAAGATTGTCCCAAAGAAATAAAGCAGATGTCAATATTTCAGTATCTCAACTGAATTGAATTCTCTCTCCTAAACCCTCCTCAGGAGAAAAGAGGAGATTAACATCAGCATTTCATTGTAAGAGGCTCTGATAGACTGCTGAGAGAGTTCTGTGATAGAGCTATATATATATATATATATATATATATTTTTATATATATATAAAAAAGATGTAATCGTACACTCTTATGGATATATTATTCAGCTAAGACTGGGAGCGAGAGAGTTAGTCAATATGTGTGACAATGTTTTGATCAGAGTGAGGAAATCTGGTTATTTTTACAGGAGCCAAATTACAGAAACAGGAGCAAATGGCTTGAGTCTCGCTCTGATTTCAAACAGGACTCAGCCGTGTCTGGGAGAAGTACATGATCGAGATGAAGAGGAGATCTCATTCAGAATGGGTAACCTTGTGGCTCGCTGGCTTTAAGTATTTCCTCTTTCTTTGTCTTCAAAGGCGTATAGCTTAGCAATACATGCTAACGACAGTGACTATAAGACAGTGGGCCCCATTTAGCATGATGCCAAAAAGAACACTATTTGAGATCTTTTCACTTTCACTCATCATTAGTATAACATTAGTGCTTAATTTTTGTGTGCTGCCTTTAAAAAAGCTCATTTTGGGTTTGTTTGCTTGTTTAAATCTGAATGTTACCACCCTGCTTGAGGTTAAATTAAATGAATGACTGAACTGTCCCGTCCTATATGGTAAAAAATATATGTGTAAATACGTTTGCTAAAATATATATGTGATGTTTAAAACATATGTGCAAAATATTTTCGACAATTTAAATATATGCCAATATATTTAAATTGTCGAATATACACACACACATATATCAAGTTTGTAATAAGCTTGTAATATTTAAAGTTTGTAATATTTCCATATATGCTTCCATACATATATATATTACAAACTTGACACATGTTGAAATATATTTGCATATGGGATACATCCTCATATTTTACAAGAAAATATATATAATAAATATATTGTCAATGTAATATATTTAGTCATTATTTATATTGCATGTCTTAAATATAGGTGTAAATGTATGTTTTCTAAACAAAAACTACCTATTTTAAAGGGTAGACTGTAAACTATTGAAAGGTATTCAATAGATTTTAATAAGTTTTGGGACGAAACTGCCTAGGAAACATTTAGTCCGTTCAGATTTTTTGTTGTAATAACAAATTATAAACTTTTATTTTGGCAAAAAAACAGTATATTTTTTAAACAGCTTGTTGTACTGTCATCCCATTCATTACTCTTAAAACACATTTTAAAATATATTTTAATATTTACATTCAGAATATTCACACATATATTTGACAGTGTGTGTGTGCATATATTTAAAAACATATATTAGAAATAGATTTCAAATATATTGTTTTTCCATGTGGGGTTTCTTTAAACCCCCTTCGTGGTATTAAACATCACATTACTGCAGACGTGCTGTTTTTTCTATAGATGTTTTTATATCTTTTTACATCTGTTTTCCCACAGACAGAAATAGGCCCATTCAAGGTACAGCACAATGGGAACGGAGTCTCCTTTACCTTCACCAGCGTCATCTATCACCTACAAAGACTCAGCTCTCTCACACGCACATGTAACCTGATCAGTAAATTAGCTTTATTCTGTAATGAGAGGGGCAATCGTCTCCCCGACCCCCATCCCCCACTGCTTATATGTGCTATAGGCCTACCATAAATGGGATCACCGTGGGGGGAAGGAGGTGGACCAAAGCACAAAGATAATAGTAGAGGGGTGGGCTTCAAGGCCTGTGGGAGGACCAAGACACTATGGAAGTTTACCAGATGGGTTTTTTTAAACAAAAATGTTTGCTGAATACAATTAAATGGCTTAAATCTACTTCTCAGACGAAGGTTTTACATATTTCATCTATTTTGTTGTATATACTCCACATTTAGTTTATATACTCATGTGCAAAAGTTTGGGTACCGATGGTCTAATGACATATTTTGTTAATTTAATTAAAGTAAAAATAAGTTCTACACCTCCTCTACAGACAACTGCACATTTTAATGTACAATTACTGTTTATTTGCTTAATTTGGCACTTTAAAGCAAAAGCGCAGCCTGTGTGAAACTTATGGCACGGTTTGTATTTTGTGTTTTATATTTTTCCCAACAAGTTACCGTAGAAAATGAAAAAGAACATAGTTTTACTGGGGCTGTTTCAATTTTTGCATATGACTGTGGTGGATGTATATAGTTATACATCATACATCATCATACATGACGTGTTTAGTTATATATTACATGTTTTCTTTTTGTAGTTTGTACATTTGGCCATTTATGTATGCACCAAGACCAATTCTTAGCAATTGTTTGGCCAGTAAAAGTAAAATTCTATGGGTAGTAGTAAAAAAAAGTCTTATTTCTCATTGAAAAAGTCAATAAGCTCAATCCCAGATCCCAAGTGTCTGCAAAGTACCACCATTTCTATCAAGAACATGTCAAATAACTGATAATAACTGATATTGTTTGGAACTGGCTTGAAAAAGCACTGAATTCACTTGAATTCTTTGAAAAAGTAAAAATATATTCAACACAGCTTTCAGTTTACTCACTTTTTTAACTGTATTGACATACTTAATACTTAGTTCATGTATTCGTGTGAAAATGCACACGTTTAAATCAATCCAGTCCAATGCATTACTTTTTTCTCTGTGTAGAAAAAGGGAGGGAAAAGGCCTTGCTAGCTTTGACCTGCCCAAAAACAGCCCTCCCCCCCTCACAATGGTAACTCAATGCCCCTGGGAGAGCGCAGCCCGAGAGTAGGAGGGCCCTGCTGATCCGCTCATTAAATATGCATCATAATTAAGGGGCAGAGAGACGACGTAGAGGCTTCGGAGTTCATTACCACAGCGTGATTAAAATAATGGCATTGTGTAGAGGCTGATATGGGTGTCTTGCTTATGTTTACGACCCATAACGATAATTATTAAAGTTTGTGATTAAACAGAGCCAATGATTAAGAGTGCTTATCCTCCAACGTGAACATTAACGCAAAGGAAACAGAGCTGTTTATTAGGCTCAAGGGTCGGTTCAGGCCGCATTATGGAAATTAGCATATCTGCAGATGAATTTAATACAGTGGGTGTGTGGTGCTGAGTCAAACGTCCACGGATACACAATGAAGAGTTCAGTGAGAAACAAGTCACCGTGAGGAAACTCCTCCGTTGCGGCTCCGGGGAAGAACCCAGAGAGGGATCGGCTAATCAGGCCTGAATGTGTCAGGGGCCTGGAGACCATCTGTGCCAGACACAGAGTCATTAGTGGGAGTAAACCTGATCAACACTCAGAAGACCATGAGACGCAAAACAGAGAGAGATAATATGGCAAAGACTTCTTCAAACAGAGCCAGTGACACAGTAATAATGCTCTTTATTCTCAATGTGAGATATAAAACGTGAGGATTTACAACAGCAGGCTATATTAATAATCAAAGTTATTTTTCTTTGTACTTGCACAAAGACAAACAGCACTGCACGTGTAAAAGTTTGAACACACCTGGTCAAATGACATGTTTTGTTGTCTTTCTAAGCGAAAATAAGTTCACACATCCTTACTTAACATGGCATTTTCTTTTGCACAGGCCACATTTTAATTTTTTGTGCTTCACAAGATGTTAAATTCATCACTTAAACAGTAATTGTGCATTAAAACGTGCAGAAGTGTGTTCTCTGTACTACAGGGGTGTCAAAGTCAACCACTAAAAGGGCCATATAAAAAAATCTCAATAAATCTGTGGGCCAGCTGTGTTTTTACTTTATTTTTACTTAACATTTTGACCCCAACTGGCTACTGTTTATTTAAAATATGCTAAACCTACACTAAAATATACACTAAAATCTTAAACGATTAAAAAATAATTTAAAATAAAAACAAACTGTTTTATATAACAGTAGACTATGTTAGCTGCAGATTTAACTGTTAAACCTCTTTAAATGTCCCTAATGTACAGTAGGTTTTTAAACTGCCCATTCGCGTGAACTGGACACCTGGCATCTTTTTTTTTTGTTCTTGTGGTGCTGTCCCATAGATCTTTGTAGGGGAGGGAGGTGGAAGCACACCTTACGTTGCAGTGCATGCTGGGAACTGTAGTGCAGCTCATGGTGAAATGGGCTAATATTAACAGACATTTTTAATAATTTTGCGGGCCGAATAGGATCATGCCACAGGCCTGACTCGGCCTGCGGGCCTTGTGTTTGACACATGGGCTGTAGACGATGTGTTAACTTACTTTCACTTCAAATCAACGAAACATCATTTGACCAGGGGCGCCCAAACGTTTGCATACGGCTGTAAGTTCTAATAAGAGGTGGGCGATATGGCAAAAATGTAACATCACGATACTTCAACACATTTTCACAATCGTGATATGTTTTTCTGAGGTTTGATAAGAACCAAAACTCAGAAATCAAAACAGCCCAATTTAAAAAATACTGTCAAAAACTGGATACACTGATTTTCATTCAATGTTTCACAGAATGCACTGAACTAAATCCAGTTAAACAGCACTCTTTACGCTCTTTATGCAATGACACACGCAGTTTCTGTTCTTTAAGTGCTGATGATACAATATTATCAGTAAACCATTTATAATACTAACGATAAATATGGTCATACTGCCCACCCTTACCCCAAATTATATGAATCATGGTCATTATCAATACAGCATTTTTAGCATATCTGTAACATAAGACATATCAAAACAAAAAAGACTGTTAGCAAATCGTTACATCAGTACAGTGAGCCTAAGCATTTTACCCCACTTCTAGCAGGCCCAATCAAAGGCCTGGCCTGGCCCACAATCTCTACCTATAGTCAAATATACAGTCATATATTTCATTAAAGATTTTGACCAATTACAAGTATCAGTTCATCCTTTCTATATGCAGAGGAATTATATTTCCCTATATTTTTCAAGATATGTGTCAAGTTTATAATATATTTCCATATATGTTTGACATATATGTAAATATTAAAAATGATTAACACTATTACATGTATTTATTTTCAGCAAATATGTACAAAGCTCCACTTTATTTGGATAGCCCCCAACAGACTATAGATGTTTAAATTGATAGACTTAGCACCAGAGTCATGATTAGCTTTTGGGTTGAGGTTGAGATTAGGCGACTGTAACAGATCATTAGTTGAATGCAATTTAAAAGCAAGCGACTAGTTGTGGATAATGTTAGTTCAGAACACAAAACTCTGGATTAATACCCAGTTAGGGTTATGTAAGATATGTTATGTGTGTGTGTGTGTGTATATATATATATGTATATATATATATATATATATATATATATACATATACACACACACACACATATATATATCTACATCTATGAGTATAATGATCTTTATTTCATGTACTGCAATGCACTGAATCCAATTATGCATGTGTAATTGTGCTCTATTTGTAATAAAACATACAGCTGGTCAGTGTTCTTTAAGTACTGACGGACGATATCTACAATATGAAAAGCATATTGTGACATTATGATAAATATCATCGTATTGCCCACCTCTATTCAGGAGTGTTAAACTTTGGGGAAATATATTTTTTCTATTGTCATGCTTCCAACACTGGGTCTCTTACGTCCCCCCATGCCACCCCCTCCCAGCGCCCCCCAGCCACCTCCCAGCTCCCCCAAATATTATATAAAAAGCAAATATTTGTATCATTTGAAATACATAAATACAAAAACTATTTGGCAAAACATTATCAGCACACTTGCTGTGACCTTTTGACCTCACCTAGCACTAAATATACTGGCTAGCAGAGGCCTGTGCTATGTATTGTGGTGTCTGCTACACAAAAGCAGGGCTATTATTTTTGCTAGGACCTTGGAAGACCGTCTGGAGCCCACCCAGAGAGACAAATGCTAGCTGGCTGGTGCTAGCAGAGGTGTTTGAGTGTAATCGGTGTTATTGGAGGCGACTAGCAGCTTCCATCGGCCTCTTGACACGGCAGCCGGCCACATGCCCAGAGGCTGTGGTGCAGACGGGACAGGCAGAGAGGGAGGAGGGGCCCGGGGCCTACTTCCTGACACACAATGAAACAGGAAGCACTTGCTGCCTCTCTGCACAAACACGATAAAAAAACCTCAGCTACTTACAGTAACAAGGCTTTTGAAATCCGGTCTAAAGGTGACTGGTTTGAGAGCTTCTGCAGGGCAGAAATAGTCCTGAATAGGGTTGGTGCACAGAAATACTCTTCAATAGTTTGGAGCACTGAGTCTATTCTTTGAAAAGATAGCAGAAATAGGCCTAAATAGGCTTGTGCTACCTTGAGTTTTCTGCATGAGTCAGTTCGTGCTGAGGTCATGTCTGGAACAAATTCTAAATTAAGAAAGATTAAAGAAGTATTGTTTTGACCATTAGTAGCTATATAGACTAAAAACATATACATCTTCAGATCCAATCTTCAGAATCCACTGATTCTGGAACAGTACACGGTGAATTTGCTCATTTCTTGTCTCATGAAGTCAACACAAAGAGGCGGGTTTCAGATTTCATACCTACATGTGAAGCCACGGGCTAAAGTTTACCCACTTCCAGCATTCCAGTTAGCATTCCTGTTCTTCCAGCTGGATACAAAGGCATGAGTGTGCCCTGAGGTAGCAGGAAGCAGTGAGAGAAAGCAGAACCAGCCTGGAGAGGGAAGTAATGACAAAACGCATTTGTTCTTTATTTAGGTGTGATCTATTCAGCTCGTTCCTTCAGTATGAACACATTAACCCATATCCTACACTTTTCTGGCACTTTATTCTTCTCCCCGAGATCCACCTCTGGCATATGTGGTTGTATGCACCACAGTCATAATCATTTCTACAAGACTATTTTCCAACCTCTCTTTATCCCTCAGAATTAAACAGGCTGTTTTTGTTACTGTGCCTTTAAGACACATATATGCAAATGAACTCCATTCCAGCTGCCCTGTTTAATTTATTAATCATTTATTGCTGTTGTAGTGATTAAATAAACAAGCGTAGAATCTGTATTTTTTAAAAAGTAAGTGGTTCCTTCTTGAAAATGGCCTAGTACGTTGGCATTGAAAGGTTTGGTCTGCAGCCCAATCAGTGCAGCTGATAAATGTGGGATAACCAATCAAAATTCATGTCTTACTCATGTGCCCAAGCTCAGCAATAAGCTGTTTATAGTAGCTTGGCTTTTAAGCCTGGTTAAATAAGCTTTTACATTATTTAAAATGATGTAATAAGAAATCAGTAGCAAAGGGTAACTTGAAACACTAATGTTCACTAAAGTTAGCCTGATCGGTAGCCAGCTAGCTAAACGATCATCTCTACAAAACAGAGAATTAACTACCTTCCTAAAAAAACCAGCACAGATCAGGCTGGTCACTAGTAAACCAGCACAGATCAGGCTGGTCACTAGTAAAACCAGCATATGTTGTGTTTTGGATGCTGGTATTCTGGTCAACCAGCATGATCATGCTGGGTGACCAGCTAAACAAGCACCAGGTCAGCATAAAGCCAGCTTTGCTGTTTTTTAGCATGGTAACTAAGAGCTAAGTTCAAGGATCAGTCATTGCTTAGTTAATATGGACATCTTTGGAGGTCATTAAGTGCTAGAAAATTAAATAATTACTACAGTTAACTTCCTTATCTAGCTGGTGTTAGTTAGCCAGCTAGCTAACTCCATCTTAATTAGCAAATTTACTTAATCTGCAAAGCAGCAGGCTAGCAGAGTAGCACTTAGCTAGCTAAAATAATAATAACATAAAAGTACATTTTTAAACACTTAATTTAGGAAATAATGTAGACAACAAAAGTAAGACAGTGACCACAGAAGATATATGTAAATGGCATCTGTTCTGATTGGCTGTCATGTATTGCACCTCATTCAAAAAGCACTCAGTGAAATCAAAACAGGTTGTTTTTGCCGCTTAGATTTCATGCAGACTGGGGAGTGAACAATACATTTTGAAGCTTTATCGGTGTTACTGTATGATGCTATATAAAACTTTTTATTAAAAGAAGTGAATTAAATTAATTTTCTGTATTTTAAGAAAACATTTGATATTAATATTTTTACACAAGGATAGATTATGAGTAGGAAACACCTGGGTTATAGGTATCAATACTTCAGTATCAGTTGGCCTTTCATTCCTGGTTCCTCTGGAGACCTGAGCCCAGTTTGCATGCAGTACACAAGTGGAGACAATTTGAGTAAAAGGGGAAGAAATAAAGGGAGCGACACTAACCAAACTAGGGCAGGCTATCCAAATCCCCTTTGACTATGTAATGAGAGTGCCATAAAAAAGAAACAGGTTAATTAAATCCATTCAGACTGCGGGTGGTACCGATTTATCAGTTTATCTCCAGGGGAGGAACCTCAACCTGGAAAAGCTAGCCAGATCTGTAGCTTTAGCTGCTAACAGGCTTAGGCGATCTCTAAACAAACAATGCTAACTCATAAGTGATGTTGAAAGACAAGTATGTGCTTCAAAAAGAGTGTTGTTTTATTATTTTTGAGAGAAAAGCTTCAAAATGATGGTTAAAACCTCTCAAGGTGCTCAGAGAAGTAGCAGAAAACAGTAACAAGGTGATTAGCACAAAACCCACTGAAGGGTTACAGGCAGTTGTGTGGCCTTCAAATGTCAGTTACTGTCCAGGCTGCACACTAACCCAACCAGTATCTTCAACTGGGCATTCAGACCTAAAAATAGTTTAAAATGTTAGTTTTCGTGTTCTGCAGCATTCTGTATTACAGCGTTATAATCCTCAGTTTCATCAGTTTGACAGGATTTTATCTTTTTTTCATGTTTTAGTCCATCAATATTCTTTCATTACAATGCCCAGCATACATTATGCAAATACATAACTATTGGGAATCCCTGTGGTGTCAACCAATCCTGACTGCTAGCCTAGCTACTGATCTATACGTCAAATACAGCCAAGCTAGCGTTAGTTTAACTCTTACCTCA